GGGGCATCCAACGCTTCTTCTCCGGTGACTATTGTCAACCTAGTCCTCTGTCAAACAGGGTGGTGTGGTGGCAAGCCCGCCCATGGTACAGTGGACGACCTTCCAAACCGTGATGGCGCGGTGGCAGATCTAGGTCTGCCAGATCATTGACCACAGGTCAGCGGCACTACACCGTCAATCGAGGCAGATTGACGGGGAGCTGGGTGGCGGTTGCCAGGAGGTGATATCGCCAGTCGGCCACCGACCACCATCGACAGAGTACAACACTCCGGAGGACCCCTTGTGATCATGTCGTGCCGGATCTTCGACACAGTTAGCTCCCAAGTGTTACCGGCCTTCGCGTAGATGGATTTTTGTATGGTTAGCTACTATATGCTTATATATTTTTTCTATAGGGTTAGTGTTGCTTATAGAAATCAGTTTAGGATTACATACCAGCACAGTTTGTATATTTGTCTCTCTTGCCGGTAGATTGCATACCTTATTTCCTGTAGTGATGTCAAACAATGTTTTTGACATGCCTACATACCGAAGTGTAATGAAAATCAACTAGGTCCAAATGAAATATTTCTCTTCCAGGTGCTTTATTATTTCGGTGGTACTGTACAAAATTACAACTTAGCAGTTTTTTCCCACCATCTTTTCTGATCTCCCTAATGCTTGAGAAGTTGAGAGTACTAAGGTGATTATACTTTTTGAATTTTAATATAATATTATCAAGCTAAAAGTAAACTTAAACACATTTTCCCTATTATCAATAGGGATATGAAAGGGGACATGTACTGGGTTTCGTCACTGTTGTAACATTTGGTTTCACTGTACACGACACATTTTTCTTCTTCAGAAAGAGTGTATTTTACAATGTCGTCAAAATGTCAAGGTGGTATGCACCACACAAAAAAATCTGGAGAGAAGAGGAATGGTCATGAGCAAGCACCCGTTACTCCAGACGATGACTCTTTTCTTTAGGATTAATAAGTTTGCATTCGAGGAGAGTTGCGAGAACCAAAAAAAGAGAAGAGAGAAAGTAGAAAATTTGTCACCTTCAATAAGAAAATATAACCTACCAATTACGTTATTTAGATTTTTATTTGTTGCACAAGTTGAATAAGTGTGCGTAGGGAGGTGCCGCTCTACCTATGCCCTTTGTCGGTCTGACCTGGGAACCCCCATGGAAGAACACTTGTGGTTTGTGTGAAAAGTCAAAAAATGGCTCACTATCACACATGACATGTGTCGTGAAGTCATTTCGTGATTTTCACACAAGTATTGTTTGATCGCATATTTTTGAAACTCACAAGTGTAAGTTCAATGTGATCGACATCCCCATCCATGATTCGCCCCCATAGTTTCTTTAAGCTTAAAAGCATTTTTTTGCTAAAATTAAAAAGAGAGTCATCAACATCATGTCCAGAGTAGCATTCCTTTTCTCCATTTGCTAATTTGCAATGCTTCTTAACCCCTCCTCCCCATAATTGATTACACCAGATTTTTTTTATAATGAAAGCTTTACAAAGTCTTATCATCACATCAAGCTAATACAACCACACAAGAGTTAATCCTCCATCTGCACGTAGAGATGAAGACAATCCTCAACTACAATACATGGAAAACATAAAAACCAAGAAGAATACGATTGTACAATTTCGTTTCAGAAAGGTATTAGCTTAGTGCAAAATTTCCTTGTAAATCGAGTACAAGGTAGCCCCTATCTAGAAGAGTCTTGAGTTTCCTTTTCGTGAAATAATGATATTTTTAGAATCTTACTCCACACATAATGTCATACATTGACCTTAATTATGAAAATCAAATAACCGACATATAGTAAAGATTTTTAAAGTTTTAAAATATTCACTCTTTGTATTTGGGTCGTTAAACCCTCTAGCTTAACACAACAACAAAACCTTTTGCCCCAAATAAGTTACAATAGGCTAGAGATGATACCCAACAGAAAGTTGCGAGAACCAAAAAAAGAGAAGAGAGAAAGTAAAAAAAATTGTCACCTTCAATGAGAAAATATAACCTACTAATTACATTATTTAAATTTTTATTTGTTGCACTAAGTTGAATAAGTGTGCGTAGGGAGGTGCCGCTCTACCTATGCCCTTTGTCGGTGAGACCTGGGAACCCCCATGGAAGAACACTTGTGGTTTGTGTGAAAAATCAAAAAATGGCTCTCTATCAGACATGACATGTGTCGTGAAGTCATTTCATGATTTTCACACAGGTATTGTTTGATCGCATATTTTTGAAACTCACTAGTGTAGGTTCAATGTGGTCGACGTCCCCATCCATGATTCGCCCCCATAGTTTCTTTAAGCTTGAAAGCATTTTTTGCTAAAATTAAAAAGAGAGTCATCAACATCATG